CGCTGAATGCTGAATAGGCCAATGAAGAGTCTCAAGCTCAATTCAACAGGTCAGTATCATCAAGCCAGAATTCTACATTAGCAAATCAATTGTATGATTCAAAGATGTATATATGGGCCGTTATATTTGATAATAGACTTTGGTTTAAGTGGGTAATTAGGAACTCGATCATGAGAATTTATAAAAAAAAAAAAAACAAGTGTATCATTAAGATCAGCTGCTTAAAATTCCAACAATATAATTAATTGATCAGCACGTATCAATGGTTCCATTCATTTTTTGTGTTGTGATAATAGAAGTAGAACGCCCATAACTGGAGAGGAGTCAAACCCAATTAACAAGGAACAATACTATTTAACCCAAATTCGTATCTCAAATATGCATCCCAAATGAATGGAGATCATTGGATGAGTGGGTTCCATCAATTTTTTTAATTGGGACCCACTGATCCAACCATCTTTATTGATTTGGGACGCACAATTGGGATACAAAATTAGGATATATAGCATTGCTCATTAACAAGTATTACTTGACCTAGTGTTTTGCGCTGATTTTAGTTGTGTCCGTAAGTCCACAACGCATTCAAAACCGTTAATAATTCTGGCCACTAAAATATTTATATTTTTTTCGAAAGTAATTAAATATTTTATGTTAGTTTGAATAAGTTTAAATTAATCTCCATGAATCCATCACTATTCTTAAACATGCATAATTCAACCACAAACACACACACATAGAGAAAGAGAAAGAGAGAGAGAACGAAATTTCTGCTCAGGGAAGGAGAGTCCAAATTTCTGTCCTACAAAACCCAGGCAAATCTAACTCTATTTACTAGCACTATTCGTAAGAAATAGGCCTTCCCATGCCGCCTTCTAGTTCCATGGACTTCTCTAACTTATTTCTATTGTATTTTCTTTTGTCCTATGACATCCACTCTTTCCGTGGTATCATTGACATATGAGAGAGAGAGTTTTGGAAATCTGCATATATATATATAAAAATAAAGTAACTTACAATTCAAATTTTAAAAAATAAACAAAATGACTTTTGTTTTTTGCGGTTCAGATCATTTTAAATTTTACTTTAAAGTTAATTTAACGGCTAATATTAACATCCTAAATTTAAAAGAAAAAGTAGACCACAAAGGGTGTGTTTGGAGTAACTTTTTAAAAATATTTCAACGAATTATTTCTCATAAATACTTTTAAAAAAAATTGTGTTTGAAACCGCTCTACCACTACCTCCACCCCCACCCCTTTTACCGCCACCACCGTCGCCGACACCGCAGCTGTCATCGTCGCCACTGCCACCTCCACCGTCACCTCCGCCGCCACCACCACCACCACCACCCCCAACAATCGCTATCGCTACCGCCACCGCCACCCCCACCACCGTCACCTCCGCCCCGCCCCCCAACAATAGCCGCCACCGCCACCACCACCACCACCATGGCACACACCATCACCACCACAACCACCACCATCGCCACAACCACTACCACCACTGTTGCCGTCATCGCCGCCACAGTCACAACTACCGCTACCACCGTCATTGCCTCCCACCACAACCATCATTGTCTCCTCTCACCACCTCTCACTCCTACTACAACTGATGCTTAAATTTATTTATCTCTCATCTATGCTTGTGATTTAATTTTGGATATGAATACAAATATATTTATTATTTTTATTTTTTATTACTCTATGCCTTCAGGCACAGACAATAACTAATTTATATAATGAAGTAACTTACAATTCAAATTTCAAAAGATAAACAAAAAGATTTTTGTTATTCGTGATTGAGATCACTTTAAAATTTACTTAAAAGTTAATCAACGGCTAATATTAACATCCTAAATTTAATAAAAAAAAATAGGTTCATAAGGGTGCGTTTGAAGTGACTTTTTAAAAGTACTTCAACAAATTATTTCAAATAAATACTTTAAAAAAATAATATTTGAAACCGTCCCACCACTACATTTATCACCACCACCCACCACCACCGTTGAAATCATTTAATCAAACCTCATCCAACAAGCAGATTAATGGAAAAATAATAAAAATATAAGTTACACATCTCTCAGATGATGATTACAAAAAACAAAAAAAAACAAAAAATTTGAGATGTAAAGTACAGAATGGACCTTAAGAATGAGTTTCCTTATTAATAAAAAACAAACAAAAAAAAAAAGTAGGAAAAAAAACACATTCCCAACCTCTTGAGTAATGTCGGCCCTTTCAAACTTTTTTTCTAGAAAATACTGCACCTAAAACAATCTCTTAACCCAAAAAAGACCGAGATGCACACATAGATAATTAATAGTTACATATTCACAAAACAAACAGGAAATAGAGAAATAAAAGACTGAGGATAAAGACATCGAATTACTAGAAGACCATGGGAGGGTAAAAGGATGGGGATGTCAAGCAGTAATATTGATCAGAGATAAATAAGAGGGAGGGAGGGAGGGAGGTGGGGGGGTGGGGTCAAGGGTGGGTTGTTTTATAAACGCAACAGTATTACAACTTTTTTTTCTCTCGTGTCATCTGAACCTTGCCTTCTAGCTATGGGAGGCCACACCCTTTTAGGGTTAGGGTTAGGGATCCAAACATTTACATTTTACATATTGTCAGGTTATTCAGGTTGAAAATGAGTTACACACGTTTGTGTCAACCCCAATTAAATACACAAGTTAATTGGGGCACTTTTGGGTTATTTAGGTTGATTCAAATACGACTCATTTATACTTTGTGTTGGCGGGAGTCATATCATACGTGAATTTGTGGTTGACATTCATAGTTTTGCAGGCAATGAAGCTAGGATGGGATTGGCATGAAATGGATTTGCCTGCCATTGGCTCCCTGAATGTCAAGCCAATATGTCATGTCATCTAAGAAGCAATTGTCAAGAGTGTTCGGTAACCTTCCTACTTGGCATGAAGGGAGTCAAGCAAGTAGGCACGCAAACCGCCCATAATCATATATTTTTCGAACAATTAATGCAATCATCTTTGTATGTTCAGGGTCAAGGACGAACAAATTCAAATCCTGTCCAGACTCTTGAGGTACAAAATCTGTCCATACTTGATATAAAAATTATACATACATAATACATGTCAGCCATTGATTGTTGTTGTAGTGAACAATTACCAACCATTCTTTCCCACCAAACAAACAACTGCCTACAATAATCCTTCATTCACCTTCTTCTGCATGGAATGAAACCCATATACTTCGTGCAAGATCATTGAGAGGATGAAATGATGACATTCTACTAGAAAGTAGAAAGCAGTTAACTTTTTCTCATTCTCTAGTGCAAACCCTCTCACCCCTCAACAGATGAATGAATTTATGGTGTCATAGCTCAAGAGAAATCACGGCGTTCCTTTGACCTAGAAGAATAGATAGGTGAAACAGCCTATTTTCGTTTGTCAACTGGTGGGGTGGCAGATCTCTTCCGCGAAAATCCTGTGGGACAGAATTGATACTTTTTTCTTGTCATTCAAAGTGGTAATTCTCCCACACTGTCAAAAGAATGACTCTTGTCTCGAGTACACACTAACTTTGGACATTAAGTAGGGCTTTATTGGCTTGTTAATACTTGATTTGTATGTTCTTCGTGGGGACTAGACCATTCACTTATCCTAGTCTATTGACTAAAAGACCATCGTACAAGCGCATCCACCAACAGTTACCACCACCTGAGGATGACTCTCCTCTCACAACGGAAATTGGCATCACACAACGGAGCTCACTCGGTCGCTGCATCCAAATCCGCAAGATTAAGACATACTAAAAGAAAACTGATAATTGATATACCAAAAGCTAAACAAGGCCTTCTTAACCAGTAAGAAACCCATGCTTGTTGGGTCTTGAACTCAGTCACGCAATACAGCAGGTGCTAGAGCAGAAAGTCTAGCCATATATGGCCAGCAAAAGCACGTACCTCTTTGGCTGAAGCTGAAATTTAGGAAAGGCTGCAGTTTTACTGGTAAATTTTGTTTAGAAAGTGCAGATAACTCAAATAAATTCATTTCAATCACATATACAGCCTTGGTCACTAACACACCCACCAAGACCCGTTATGCATCACCGGTTCCTCCAGCTCCACAATGCATCATTTCTTTCACCTGGCCCTCACAACATAATAAATCCAACTCGAGACACAAAAACACATACACACATTGCGGACCGATTAAATCGGATATTCTTGTTCTTTGTATTGGTGGGAGGAAAGCAAGCTTGTTCATCACAATTCAATTAGATTCACTGATAATACTGCTTTTGTTCTGCCATAAGGCTACTTGACATAATCCAACAAAATCCCATAGCTGATAATTACTAATTTTCTTTTCAAGCTATACACCAGTACAAAATCATACGTCACTATAGGCACTAGAAATGATGCTTCCGGCAGTCTGCCTGAGTTACTTCACAAAACTAGTGCCATACTCACATCCACCAAGCCCAAAGAAATCAATCCTGCACTCCTTTTATCAGAATAGTCCATCAATATCATAATACACCAATAAAGCAATAAATTTGTTCATCACAATTCACTTAGATTCAATGATAATACAGCATTTGTTCGCCACAAGGCTACTTGATATAATCCAAGAAAATCCCATAGCTAATAATTACTAATTTTTTCTTTCAAGCTATACACCAGTACAAAATCATACGTCACTATAGGCATTAGAAATGATGCTTCCGGCAGTCTGCCTGAGTTACTTCACAAAACTGGTGCCATACTCACATCCACCAAGCCCAAAGAAATCAATCCTGCACTCCTTTTATCAGAATAGTCCATCAATATCATAATACACTAATAAAGCAATAAATTTAAATTGGTAACAAAAGCTGAAAAGCAGATATTCCGGCCTTAACAACCAGATCAACTTTTTACTCTTTAAGCCTCCATATGACAAAGAGTAAATGCAACACAAGGCTAACCAAGCTCAGGCAATAAAGATTCTTAACAGGGATCCCAACAATGAGGCTTCATGTTGAGTGTTTTAGCTTAGCAAGTTGATCCAATGCATCTTTAAGGGGTTCTCTCAGTTTGCTTTTCTTGCCCTGGAAACAATGAAATTGTAAACAGCAGCTTTCGAAGATTAAAGAGTAAAACAAATACCAAATCCTTTATCTGAAAAGCATTGTTTCAATTATAAGATATCCTAGCATTTAATCACACAATCATCCATTCCAAAGATTCCTCCTTTAAACTTGACCCAACAATGAAAGTGCAAAGGCTAAATCGGAATATTAATCATCAACCTTAAAACTGCATATTGGTAACTTCTAGATAGCAGCTTTGCAATGAAAACACACAAGCAAACACGTAATCAAATCGCACCATAACAGCTTGTGAGAAAAAAGGGAGTGAAACCTTTATAAGAGGACTAATACATCAACTCTCTGAGCAGAAAATATTTAAAAAATTTCCCAAGTCCATGTTTCAATGAGATTAAGAACCAAATAATTTCTATAGTGTTTGCTTCTCCCACTCTTTCCTCTTGCATTCATGCAAACAACTTCAGAAATTCCTGACAAAGCATCAAAGTCTAACAACCTTAACATACCATCTCAACTTAATTGGAGATACCTGGCCCTACCATTTGTCAATCTGACAGTGAAATAGATAACAAAGCTACAAATATAGGCCAAAATACAATGGTTTTCTTTCATAGATGATGAAAGCGTCTTTATTGAGTCCCAAATGGAGAAGAGCAGGAAAGAGAAAAGGGAAAGTCAAACAGGGCCTATAAACCCAAATATGACCCTTTTTTGCAGATCACTAGTATAATGCATTTACACATTGAGTTACTAAAGAAGCCAACCTTTGGTCTCCTAGAAAGAATGGAAGGAAGGGCAAGGGCTATATCTCTCTATTGGTAGAAAGATGTAGATCTTTATCTCTAATATTGTGGACAGTGAGAAACAGTTAACTTCTTTCTTGATGGTACATCAAATATTTGCAAGCACGTGAAGGAACTAGTGTAGGAAGCATTTATGCAGTTATCTAAGTCCTAATAATATAATCCTCTAGAGTATAAAAAGATAATAGCCAAAATTCCAGAAAGAAACTCACAGAACCACAAAAAAGCAACCATTTTCCAACACCAATACTAGTGGGCCATCAAAAATATATTAATCCAAAAGCTAAAGAGCTATTTATACCGCACCTTCAAGGATGGGACAAGAGCAAAAACTTCTTCCACAGATTCTGGACCTACATTGGCAATCATGGACACCTGCAGTCACAAAGATGAAATAAAGTACACCACGACTATTGAAAATCAAGTATTCCGGGTTAAGATTAATACCTCGCCATCAGAAACATTGTGCAATTTGAGAGCACTATTTCTAAGTTAATGGATCAACAGCAGAATGCTCAAAAACAATTTTTTTCATTAATTTTTCAACGTGAGGTGCCCCAATAGCAAGCTACTGTGGTGGGCCCTCCCCTCAAAAAAATAATTTAATATCGTGTGGCCCATTGGGCCATGTATGAAATATTAAACTGATAAGAAAAGATATTATACATGAACTTAGTCAAAAACAAATTAACAACAACTCGAGCAACGTCAATCTCTGGACACTGCCGTCTTACCCAAAAAAAAAAAATAGCAGTAACAAAACTAGTAATCATCATCGTTATGAAAGAAAAGGATACTCAAGCACTCGTCTAACAGAGTGTGGACTTATATAATGGCTACCCCTCTTGGCATACTGTAGTCCCCTGTCAAATGAACTGAAAATGAACAGATTGTTAAATCTCTTAAAACCAGATTAACTTCTCATTTAACTAACAAAGAAGTACATGAAATGCTTTTTTAAATAAAAAAGGCATTCCTAAACAACAATACGAAGCATAAAATGTATTACTCACATGGGGATTTTAATTGCCGGATCTTCAGAAAGTATGACCATTTGCTCTTGGATTCCTTGTAAAATTTCTGCAGCTTCACAGTCCATCAAGCATTTAGCGTTCTCCGGAAGTTCTGCCCATATTTCAATAGCTACCATTAAAAGCACACACATTTGCATAACATAAATAACTGCACTAGCAGTACCTTTCAGAAATGCTACTACCACTAAAAGAATAAAAATCAATAGATTAGAAGGCTAGAAAGACCTAACCCAGCAAAACATACCCCAAAACCCAATGTTTTATTATACAGACCCTCACAACGTATACATAGTCAGAGATTGCTCAATTATGTTCAGCTTGCTCTTCAATTTTACAGAAATATACCCCAACAGAAAAAAGAATTGCAATGGAACAACATAAGGCGTGACTAATATTTGAAAAATTATGATTGGAAAACAAAATTAATTCCATTAAACTATATAAAATAGCAAGGAGACAAATACAATTTCAATAAAAATTGAAAAACATAGAAAAACCAAGAAAATTATACTATCGCGTAGTGTCAATTATCCAACTATGGATAAATAAACCATTGAGACTTTTCCAAACTATTTGGGATAGCTTACCTGATTTTGTTTCGATATTGTGCTCTAGTAAAGGTTATGTTTTCTGTTAAATCGCAGACAAACTAACCACAACCAATGTATTAAACAAATAAGGTATCTTCGAACTTCTCTTTTTTTTTCTTCCCTTTTTTCTTTTCTTTTTTTGGGGGGTGGAGGGAAGGCTGTGTGTTTGTGTGTTTGTAAGAGAGAGAGAGGGAGAGGGAGAGGGAGAGGGAGAAGGAGTGCCTGTGTTTAGCCAAAAAAATGCACTAACCATGCTCAATTTTGAGCTCCAGCGGCGGAGGTGCCTTTACCACAGGGACTTCACCACCATTTGCAATTTTATCTCCTTTCCCCCTTTGCCCCAATCTCCTTGAAAATTTAAGAATTGTGCAGAGGATTAACACAAACACAACCATGTCTATGACCATATAATATTAAGGATCCAAACCAAAAAAAGAGTAAGAAAATCAAACCTCTGGCAACTGGTTTATCAACTTTCCCACCAGATTTTGAGGACATGCTAATTTTGGCTTCTGATGAATTCAAAATATTTACAGCAAAATTTAAAAGGGAGGGAGGAGGGTAAATGAGTAATGAGAATAGAAAAACATGTTCTACGTGAAGTCTGAACAAGTAAAGAATGACCATATACATCTCCAATTCTCTATAGTATCAGGAAAAAGAGGTATAACCTTCGGCATCAAACTGTACTTTTCTTCCCCTCTTTGACTTTGCTGTGCTATCATCCTTCCCTTTGAATGATGCTATGCAAAGGAATTTTCAGAAATAAAATGTCTTCAACATTAGAGTTATTGGCTCATCATATAGAAAAAAAAAATCAATTTGAAACAACATAAATTAAGCATAAAAAGGCTACATATATCTCAGCAGTAATCCACACATCAGAGCATGTTTCATGCATCCAAACTGCAAAGTATAATCTAAGTTCAAATTTTTTTAAATGCTCAGCAATCAGTTCTCCCATTTACATGTTTTCCAATTGGTACTAGCATGTAATGATTGGCTAAACCATAAGAATACCCAAAAACATAGAAAGATACATTTGAACGCATGATAGATTAAAGATAAAAATAAGTTACTGGAAAAATAGGTGAGAGTTACCAGGAGATTTGAGAGAAGATTTTCCACCATTAGAAAGTGAAAACCCCTTTTCACCTTTCTCTGCCATTTGCAGCTGCTAGTGCTGCAAAACATACGAAGTCTCAGGTCGAAATCATCTAATCAAACCTCATCCAACAAGTAGATTAATGGAAAAACAATAAAAATATAAGTTAGACCTCTCTCAAATGATGATTACAAAATAAAAAAAAAAGAATTTTTTTTTAGATGTAAAGTACACAATGGACCTTAAGAATGGGTTTCCTTATTAATAAAAAACAAAAAAAAAAAGTAAGAAAAAAAAACACCTTCCCAACCTCTTGAGTAATGTCGACCCTTTCAAACTTCTTTTCCAGAAAATACTGAACCCAAATAATTCTCTTAACCCAAAAAGACCGAGATGCACACATAGATAATTAACAGTTACATATTTGCAAAACAAAAAGGAAATAGAGAAATAAAAGATGGACGATGAAGGCATAGAATTACCAGAAGACAATGGGGGGGGGGTAAAAGGATGGGGAAGTCCAACAGTAATATCGATCAGAGATAAATAAGAGGGAGGGAGGGTGGGTGGGGTCAGGGGTGGGTTGTTTTACGAACACAACAGTATTATAACTTTTTTTCTCTCGTGTTGTTTGAACCCTGCCTTCTAGCTATGGGAGGCCACGCCCTTTTAGGGTTAGAGTTTGGGTTAGGGATCCAAGTATTTACATTTTACATATTGTAAGTTTATTCGGGTTGAAAATGAGTTACACAAATTCGTGTTAACCCAATTAAATACACAAGTTAATTGGGTCATTTTTGGGTTAATTGGGTTGAATTCAAATACGACCCATTTATACTTTGTGTTGGCCGCAGTCATATCATACGTGATTTTGTGTCAAAAAATAAACTCAAACTCATTTATTTGTGTTGTGTTCATATCGAATTAAAAATTGTCACCCCTTCGCAATGTGGCATCTATCTGGCTCAATTGTTTTATTTATTTATTTATTATTAAAATTACTTAGAGTTCACTTGTTTTATTTATTTATTTATTATTAATCAATAAACCATGTAATAAAACTAATGTGGTGCACTGCAATATCATTCAATCGTTTAATTGAATGAATGTTAGTTAATCTTTGAAGAAATTTCAATACAATTACAAATAAATGACATCGGTTGAGGTTGAGGTTGAGGAAGGCGTAGGCCAACCCCACCTTGTTTCTTTTCTTTTTTTGTTAAGAAATAATTAGATACAAGGAGAGAGTGTAATAAAATTAAACATCTACATTTACATTTTCTATTCCTACTTTTAATCCTGCTTTTACCCGCTGTTGTGAGGCATCATTATTGTCCATATCAATGATTATTTGCCTCATAACCAACGGGGGAGGTTTTCAACATTGATGGTTCCTGATAATTGTTCCTCAGCCCCCACCTTGTTTCTTTTCAATAAATTCGTATGATTTACTTATGCTCGTCCGTCGTCACCATAGTTTTAAAACCCGGCCCAGACGTCAACCTGACAAAGGGACCGGGTCAATAGGTCATTGATTCAACCGGGGGGTCACTGGTCGGATCGGTAATATATTAAAAAATTAAAAAATAATTATAAATACTAATAAATAAGCTAAAAAAATCACAATAATTATAAAAATAACATCAAAAATGTAACGTTAAGTAGAAAAAAATCATCAAACATGTATCTAATTTCAATGTATTTCAGTTTTCAATACAACTTGTAAAGTTGAGAAGAGAAAAATACCTTTATTGAAATTCAAAGCTCCAAGTCTAAGTCCAACTCTTCGACAATGCATCAATCGAAGCATAATCCATGTAATTTGCACTCTTCAAAGTTCAAACTTCAAACTCAAAACTCAAACTGTGGGATGCAATCATGCAAGACACATGAAAACAAAACGAAGCACATGAGCATAACATAAGGACTCAACTAAACAAAATTAAAAATCAATTATCCAGCCACTGCATAGTTCCACTTGAAAATACAAATTATTACCACTATTATCAATTAACTTGAAATTGCTTCTGTAAATTAGATTGCATCACAGCTAGTAAAATAATCAAACACTTAAAATTATCCGACCACTGCTTAGTTCCACTTGAAAATACAAATATTACCACTATTATCAATTAACTTGAAATTGCTTCAGTAAATCAGATTGCATCACAACTAGTAAAATAATCAAACACTTAGATCAGAATTCTGCAAATCATATTGCATCATAACTCATAAAATTATCAAAATTACATCATTACTCATTCTAAAATATTTTTTTTGTTAGTACCAAGATAATCAAAACATCAAATGGACAACCATTCAAAGTGCAAAATCAACACATTCAGTTATATATCAGCTGGGTTCATCCTAGGCTTCAGAGAAACTTGCACATAATCCAAAAAATCGAAAAACACACTCAAAAACACAAGCCCAGAAAAAAGAAACTGATTGCCAAGTGACTATGATAAACAAATGAAAAACAAAACAGGGAGGAAAAATTCTTCATTTCAAGATCAACAACAATAATTTCATATATAACACTTGCCCTGTAAAATAAACACATAAAATAGTCAAACTGCGTAATCTAAAAACCACAAAAAATAAAATCTAAAGTAAGACATCGAGGTGGTCTCAGGTGTTATCACATCAAGAGGGGGAAAAAGTTGGTATTTTTACCTACAAAAACGGTGATTCTGAGAGAGACCCAGAATCAGAAAGTGAATCATCTTCCCCAGAAAGAAAACTTTCAATATAGTGACTGATTACAGTCACTGAGAGAGAGAGAGAGAGAGAGAGGGAAGGGGGGAGGGAACTCACCTCGTCGCAGGTGGAGGCTGTGCCCAGTCGTTGGTGGTGCTGTGCTCTGCTCAGTCGCTGGTGGAGCTCTGCTCAGCCGCTGCTGCCTGGTTGTCTGGATCGATTTAGAGCAACTGGAGGTCTCGATCGATTTAGGGCAAATGAGCAAAATGCCCAAAAAGTGCTAAAAACCACCTTTTATCGAAATCATTTTAAACCGTCCGGTTTTGTTAACTCCCCCTTCTAACAGGTCCACCGATTTTTGACCTGTTCCACGGTTTAATCCCAATTTTTAGGCACAAATGATCTTTTATGAGAAGTGGCCCGGTTGGAGCACCAGTTCACCGAGTTGACCCATCAGGCCGGACAAGATTTTAAAACTATGTTTCATCACTAGTGGTGCAGTGTAACTGTAATTAACGAAACAAAAGGAATTACGTGTAGCATCAGTCAGTAATTAGTTGAGTGTTCATCAATTAATTACCCATCATGTACCTGGACCCACATCTTGAGATCAATTAATTGATTAAATTTTCGTTTACACGGGACGACATCTAATCACATTAGCCCATTGTTACTACTTATATATGATTAATTAATACAATTAAATTTTATTTTTTTTGAACATAGGATAACTACAATCACTCACACTTAGCAAGTGTGAGAGCTATAGTATCCATTTAAACACAACACACACCCTAAGGCTATCCGATGTGGGATAGCCCCAGCCCTTACCCACCCAAGCTCTAAGGCCTCATCCAACCTATGGTCAGGCCCATGGACGAAAGAAACTGAGCCCACAATCAGAGTCACCCTAGAACACACATGAACCAGTATTCTTTTTTTTTTTAAACATGGGATAACTACAATCACTCACACTTAGCAAGTGTAAGGGCCATATCATCAATTAAAACACAACACACACTCTAAGGCTATCCGATGTGGGAAAATTCAATTAAATTAAAAGAAGAAGAATCATGTTGATGTGTGATGCTGATACAGTGATGTTGATGTGTAAATGCATATGTATACCATGATTTGTTGATGCATTTGAACGACAGAAAATGTGTGAAAAGATCTCAAGAGCAATCTCTTATGGGATTTTGACAATTGGCTTTTACACTTTGAAGTTGCTTGTTTTGTTTATCTTTTTTCCCCCTATTGTGCATATGAGTTCTAATGGTGTATTCTGTGTGGTTGAGTAAAAGTACTAGATTGGGGATCTGTTGATGGGGTTTATTGGAATATTCAGTCAAAGCTTCTAGGCTCTTGGTGGTTGAACAATCAATTCAGGAATGATAGTTGTGAGCATAAATCAATAGACGAGAGATTTATAGTGGTTCACTAGTTCGAAAGCTCAACTAATCCACTTCAATGGAGTCTTTTGCTCCTGTGAGAGTTTTCTTTTACTTGGGGAAGAAGGCTACAGAATTACAAGGGGGTCAATGTTTGTATGTTTGATTGATTACAATGTGAGGAATTTGATCCCCATTTATAGTATGTTGTAGTCTGGCGTAATCATCGCGATCCTTGCGTGATCAACGTGAGCATTGCTCATTAACAAGTATTACTTGGCCTAGTGTTTGGCACTGATTTTTGCTGTGTCCGTAAGTCCACAACGCATTCAAAACCGTTATATTTTTTTTTTGAAGTAATTAAATATTTTACGTTAGTTTGAATAAGTTGAAATTAATCTCCATGAATCCATCACTATTCTTAAATATGCATAATTCAAGAACAAACAGAGAAAGAGGGCGAGGGAGAGGGAAAGGGAATTTCTTCTCAAGGAAAGAGAGTCCAAATTTCTGTCCTACAAAATCCAGGCAAATCTGGCTCTATTTACTAGCACTATTCGTAAGAAATAGGCCTTCCCTGTCACCTTCTAGTCCCATTGACTTCTCTAACTTATTTTTATTGTATTTTCTTTTGTCCTAAAACCTCCACTTTTCTCTGTGGTATCACTGACATATGAGAAAGAGTGTTTTGGAAATCTACATATATATATATATATATAATAAAGTAACTTATAATTCAAATAAACAAAATAATTTTTGATTTTTGCGATTCAGATTGTTTTAAATTTTATTTTAAAGTTAATATAATGATTAATATTAATATCCTAAATTTAATAAAAAAAAATAGACCACTAAGGGTATGTTTGGAGTAACTTTTTAAAAGTACTTATAAGAATTATTTTTCATAAGTACTTTAAAAAAAATAGTGTTTAAAACCACTCCTCCACTACCTCTACCACCACCACCACCACC